ACTGCACACCTAGGCTGTATGGATAGCCTGTTGTCCCTAGGCTACAAAATTGTCAACATGTTACTACACTGAATACTGTAGGCAATTGTAACACAATGGTACATATTTGTGCATCTAAACATAGAAAACGTACAGTAAAAATACAGTATAAAAGTTAAAAATGGTACACCTGCATTGAGCACTTAACCATGAATGAAGCTTTCAGGACTGGAGGTTGCTCTGGATAAGTCAGTGAGTGAGTGGTGTGTGAATGTGAAGGCCTAGAACATTAGTGTACACTACTGTAGACTTTATAAACACTGTACACTTAGGCTACACTAAATTTATTTTAAAAATATTTTTCCTTCTTTAATAATAAATTAACCTTAGCTTACCACAACTATTTTATTTTATAAACTTTTTAAATTTGTAAGCTTTTTGACTTTTTTGAAATAATACTTTGTTTGAAACACAAATATATTGTACAGCTATACAAAAATATTTTTTCTTCATATCCTTAAGCTCTTTTCTGTCTTTACATTTTTATATTTTGATTTTGATTTTTTACTTTTTAAACTTTTTTTGTTAAACACTAAGACAAACACACACAATATCCTTGGCCTACACAGGGTCAGGATCAAAACATCACTGTCACAGCTTGTCCTACTGGAAGGTCCTCAGGGGCAATAACATGCCTGAAGCTGTCATCTCCTATGGTAACAATGTATTCTTCTAGAGTACCTGCCTGAGGCTGTTTTACAGTCAGTTTTTAATTTATTTTTATTTTTTATGTTTTTAAATAAGTACAGGGTGTACACAGTGAAATAATAAAATTATAGTAAATAAACCAGCAACTTGGTCATTTATTATCATTATCAAGTATTATGTGCATAATTGTATGTGCTTTTTTTATTCAAAAAGAAAATCATTAAGAACACAGCATTATTAATATTTATTCTTTTTTTAAAAAAGAATCTGATTTATTTATTTAATTTTTTTATTAGACTTTAAGTTCTGGGATACATGTGCAAAACGTGCAGGTTTGTTACACAGGTATACATGTGCCATGGTGGTTTGCTGTATCCATCAACCCAGAGAAATACATTAGATATTTCTCCTAATGCTATCCCTCCCCTAGCACTCCACCCCTTAACAAGCCCCAGTGTGTGATGCTTCCCTCCCTCTGTCCATGTGTTCTCATTGTTAGCTCCCATTTATGAGAACATATGGTGTTTGGTTTTCTGTTCCTGTGTTAGTTTGCTGAGAATGATAGTTTCCAGCTTCGTCCATGTCCCTGCAGAGGACATGAACTCATTCTTTTTTATGGCTGCACAGTATTCCATGGTATATATGTGCCACATTTTCTGTATGTAGTCTATCATTGAGGGACATTTGGATTGGTTCCAAGTCTGCTATTGTGAATAGCGCTGAAATAAACATACATGTGCATGTGTCTTTATAGTAGAATGATTTATAATCCTTTCGTTATATACCCAGTAATAAGATTGCTGGGTCAAATGCTATTTCTGGTTCTAATCCTTAAGGAATTGCCACACTGTCTTCCACAATGGTTGAACTAATTTACACTCCCACCAACAGTGTAAAAGTGTTTCTATTTCTCCACATTCTCTCAAGCAGATGTTGTTTCCTGGCTTTTTAATGATTGCCGCTCCAACAGGCATGAGATGGTATCTCATTGTGGTTCTGATTTGCATTTCTCTAATGACCAATAATGATGAGCTTTTTTTCATACGTTTGTTGGCTGCACAAATGTCTTCTTTTGAGAAGTGTCTGTTCATATCCTTCACCCACTTTTTGATGGGGTTGTTTGGTTTTTTCTTGTAAATCTGTTTAAGTTCTTTATGGATTCTGGATATTAGCCCTTTGTCAGATGTATAGATTGCAAAAATTTTCTCCCATTCTGTAGGCTGCCTATTCACTCTGATACTTTCTTTTGCTTTGCAGAAGCTCTTTAGTTTACTTAGATCCCATTTGCCAATTTTGACTTTTGTTGCCATTGCTTTCAGTATTTTAGTCATGAAGTCTTTGTCCATACTTATATCCTGAATGGTATTGCCTAGGTTTTCTTCTAGGGGTTTTATGGTTTTAGGTTTCATGTTTAAGTCTTTAATCCATCTTGAGTTAACTTTTGTATGAGGTATAAGGAAGGGGTCCAGTTTCAGTTTTCCGCATATGGCTAGCCAGTTTTCCCAAAACCATTTATTAAATAGGAAATCCTTTCCCCATTGCTTGTTTTTGTCCGGTTTTTCAAAGAACAGATGGTTGTAGATGTGTGGCATTATTTCTTAGGCCTCTGTTCTGTTCCATTGGTTTATATATCTATTTTGGTACCAATACCATGCTGTTTTGGTAAACGAGGAGGAAGTCGAATCCCTGAATAGACCAATAAGAAGTTCTGAAATTGAGGCAGTAATTAATAGCCTACCGAGAAAACAAAACAAAACAAAACAAAACCAGGACCAGACGGATTCACAGCTGAATTCTACCAGAAGTATAAAGAGGAGCTGATACCATTCCTTCTGAAACTATTCCAAACAATAGAAAAAGAGGGAATACTTCCTAACTCATTTTATGAGGCCAGCATCATCCTGATAACAAAGCCTGGCAGAGACACAACAAAAAAAGAGAATTTTAGACCAATATCCCTGATGAACATCGATGCAAAAATCCTCAATAAAATACTGGCAAACTGAATCCAGCAGCACATCAAAAAGCTTATCCACCACGATCAAGTTGGCTTCATCCCTGGGAGGCAAGGCTGGTTCAACATACACAAATCAATAAATGTAATCCGTCACATAAAAAGAACCAAAGACAAAAACCACATGATTATCTCAATAGATGCAGAAAAGGCCTTCAACATAATTCAACACCTCTTCATGCTAAAAACTCTCAATAAACTGGGTATTGATGGAACGTATCTCAAAATAGTAAGACCTATATATGACAAACCCACAGCCAATATCATACTAAATTGGCAAAAACTGGAAGCATTCCCTTTGAAAACTGGCACAAGACAAGGATGCCCTGTCTCACCACTCCTATTCAACATAGTATTGGAAGTTCTTGCCAGGGCAATCGGGCAAGAGAAGGAAATAAAGAGTATTCAAATAGGAAGACAGAAAGTCAGATTGTTTCTGTTTGCAGATGACATGAGTGTATATTTATAAAACCCCATCATCTCAGCCCAAAATCTCCATAAGCTGATAAGCAACTTCAGTAAAGTCTCAGGATGGAAAATCAATGTGCAAAAATCACATGCATTCCTATACACCAATAATAGAAAAACAGAGAGCAAAATCATGAGTGAACTCCCATTTACAATTTTTACAAAGAGAATAAAATACCTAGGAATCCAACTTACAAGGGATGTGAAGGACCTCTTCAAGGAGAACTACAAGCCACTGCTCAAGGAAATAAGAGAGGACACAAACAAATGGAAAAACATTCCATGCTTATGGATAGGAAGAATCAATATTGTGTAAATGGCCATACTGCCCAAAGTAATTTATAGATCCAATGCTATCCCCATCAAGCTACCATTGACTTTCTTCACAGAATTAGAAAAAACTACTTTAAATTTCATATGGAACCAAAAAAGAGTCTGTACAGCCAAGACAATTCTAAGGAAAAAGAAGCTGGAGGCGTCACGCTACCTGACTCTAAACTTCTAAAATGAACTCATGAGGCCAAAGAATGAAGGAGACACCAACACAAGGGGGAAAAAAATCAAAACAACGTGGTCAGTGCAATGGTAGAGATGTGCACAGTATATCATGGAAACCCAGAGAAGACAAACGTAACACAGCTTTAGGATGATATGGAATTTTTCTCCCAGGAGGAGAGGATGGTCAAGCTGAGAGAGGTGTGAACTGAGTGGAAAGGAGGGGAGTAATATTCCAAGAGAAGAGAACGGTATGAGCAATTCATGGAGGTAGGAAAACTGTATACAGGGAAACATCAGCAGGTTGTTGAATACAGGAAGCTGAATGGGGCTGGGCACAGTAGCTCACGCCTGTATTCCCAGCACTTTGAGAGGCCGAGGTGGGATCATCACTTGAGACCAGGAGTTTGAGACCAACCTGGGCAACATAACCTGACCCTCATCTCTTCAAAAAATAAAAATAAATTAGCCTGCTGTAGTGGCAGGTGCCTGTAGTCCTAGCTACTCTGAAAGGATCACTTGAGTTCAGGAGGCTGAGGTTGCAGTGAGCTATGATTACCCCGTTGCATTCTAGCCTGGACAATAGAGCAAGACCCTGACTCTGAAAAAAAAAAAAAAAGAATAATAATACTAACGTATTAATACTAATCGTTAATATTAATCATAATAATACTAACATACAACAAAGCATGCAGATTCCAGTAAAGCCTGTCATATTCGGCAGATTAGGCAGGTTTAAATATAGTTTTACGTGATGATGAGCCCCTAAAAGCTTCTGAGCAGGAGGGACTATCTGAAAAAAGATAGAGAATGGTTAAGACCCAAGACAGAGAGAAGTTGCAAGGACTATTTGGTTGATAAAATCTGTAGGAATTGGAATGGGCTGAATGTGGGAGTGGGGGTGGGGTGAGAGATGGGGAGGAGTGAAGACTAAATAAACCCAGATTTCTGGTTTGAGTCCAGGAGAGTGGGCTGCTGAATCCAAAGGCCAGGACACCTATACCTCTGGGAATACAGTGATGGTTGCAAAAGGCATCTGGTATTGTCCTTCTGCCACTGTCTTAAAAGGGATTCTAAAAGGATTTTCTTGCCCTTGTTCCTCTAGCCCTACACTTGCGTTACTAGCCTACGTGGATACTCACCAGCTGGCTGTGTCCATCATTGCAGCCAAGTCTGAGAATTCCTGATTATACTTAGAGCCTGTGGAGCTGCTGACACAAACAGTCATTAGCAGACGACCCTTTTGCAACAAAGTATGCTTTAAAATGTAAACCGTGGAGGCATTTTCCTTGCGTTGTCCAGAAGGAACTTTGTCCTGCGTGAGCCTGGATTAATCATGAGAGAGCTCGTCAACATTCCACTGGTACATATTCTTACTCTGGTTGCCTTCAGCGGAACTGAGAAACTTCCAAAAGGTTGGTTTGAGCAATCGTGTCTTCTTGTTGCCTTGTCATGGTTGTAGAGTGTGTGTACGAGATATGTCCACCACTGATTTATAGTATGGTGGGCTTCAGTTTTACTTGAAGAAGGGTGAGATGTACGATGAGGGAGGAAACTACATACATAAGCAATTGGTTGATGGTCTCCTCTCTACCAACATTTTCCTCCGAAGTTCTGCAATAAAAGGCTTAGCCACATAGTGCATGCAGAGCTCTGACTTCTAAGGCAAAACGTAAGCATGTACACTGCAAGTTATCAAGGTCTATTTTGTTTATGCGTATGTCAAATTTCAGGGTGGTCTAAGTGGATGATGAAAACCTTTTCGCATCAGGTTTGCCAGGAATAGAATCAACCCCCTTCTCAGACATCCAGAGCATTGGCTTCTGAATGAAAATCACTTTTATTTTCAGTTTTAGCTTTGCCAAACACTTAATAAATATTTTAGTTGCTAAAAATTGGAAATACAGAAAGACATACACAATTTGCCTGTGTAGTAAACCCGGAAGACAATGGATTCTAAATAACTTTGAGGCTGGAGTCATGATTTGGCTTGGCAAGAGATGGCAAAAGTTTTTTTCAGAGCCTTTGGAATGTACCGGAAATAACACCACCTCAGGGGAAAGGAAAGCAACTTAAGAAACTGACAAACACCTGTTGCAGTAGCAAGAATGTCCAGTGATATAGTTTCTGGCCAGTGTATTGTGAAACTGGGACTAGCGTATTTTAAATCAGGAAGACTGGAAAATATGTGATTTACAAAGTGACTAAGGGCATCATTGAAATCTTTTTAAAAAAAGACATGAGAAAGCAGATCGAGTGGTGTCAATAAAAGAGTTTTCAAATTAAATGTTATACCACAGAGTTAAAAGGGTTTTTTGCTTTAGGACATGTTCACATTAATCATTTTCCCTTTATATTAATCAAAGCACTGAAACGGTTTGTATTGTGTAGGTAATGAAGGTGGTATCTGCATATAGATGCAAAACGTATCTTTAGATTTTGTGGTAAAGAATTTTCAAATTAAATGTTATACAATAAAGAGTTTTTTTGCTTTAGGACATGTTCCAATTAATCATTTTCCCTTTACATTAATCAAAGCTCTGAAACAGTCTGTATTGTGTAGATAAATGAAGGTGGTATCTATATATAGATGCGAAACGTATCTTTAGATTTTGTGGTTCACTAAAAATTCTGGAGCCATAAGGTCAAGGTTCACATGCAAATAAGATATGGGTTTCTTCACAAACAATCCAGTTTCACAGATTATTTTGTTTAATTTTGTTGCTTCTCTTTTTCCATTTTACTTGAGTATAATGGTATCTTCAAATGTATTTAAACATTTAATTTCTAATGAATAGTTTAAGGCATCTACAGATAAAAGAGACTCCAGATCTTTTCAAACAGCTAATAATAGTTAGAAGGACTTAACATTGGCTTCAGATTATTTTAATACTTCCTGATCAAACAACGGATGTCCGGTAAGGCCCCACTTGGATGTTTGAATGTATGGGTCGTCCTAAGTCTTATTTGTATATTTCTAAACCATGCAGTTACATAAAAATGATAGGGTTAAATACTAAAATACAGTCTTATAAAGAGCAGGACAATTGATTTTGATGATTCAAATAAGGATTTGTTGCGCACACACACACAACCCCCAAAACCTCTCTATCTGAATAAGTCTTAAATTATATGCTAGAAAGAATTGATTTTCATTTCCAAACTTTACAAATAAAGCCCTTAATTCAAATGCACACTATCTCTAGTGTGAAAACATTGAAATATAGTGGCATCGAGATAACAAAGCCAAACATCCTGACTTTTAAATAAACTAACCAGTTCATCCAATTTCATTTCTTATAATTTACTTACTACTAGAATTAGGTTTTAAAATCAAAAAATTAAAACAATTTTTTTTCTCAGTCTGTTGTACCATAAAATCTAAATTGGTATGAGTTTAACATCACCCTTAGCCAAAACACCATGTCTAGGAGAACAAACATTTATTTACTACATACACCAGTTCTGAGAATAAATAATACCATGAAAGTACAGTCCTTAAAATTCTAAATGTTGAAGGGTGAGGAATACATTGGGAGAAAAGAGCCACAATAAAATATTATTATTATCATTATTATTATTATTTGAGACAGTCTCGTTCTGTCGCCAGGCCTCAGTGCTGTGGTGCGGTCTCGGCTCACTGCTCCTCCCAGGTTCAAGCGATCATTTGCCTCAGTCTCCCAAATACCTGGGACTACAGGCGCATGCCACCATGCCCATCTAATTTTTGTATTTTTAGTAGAGACAGGGTTTCACCATGTTGGCCAGGATGGTCTCCATCTCCTGACCTCGTGATCTGCCTGCCTCAGCCTCCCAAAGTGCTAGGATTACAGGCATGAGCCACCGCGCTGGCCGTTACACTACTGAAACTAATAAAAATGGCCCACCCAAACTATTTCTACTATTTATAGAAAACTACTGTTTTCCCTATTCTTAGCAGACAGTAACAACGAAAAGAGTCTTTTATATAATATACTTCTTCCTAAGTCCTTTATCATGATGAATAAAGGAAATTGCACAATATGTATTACCTAAAAAATTGACATATTTAAAATAATACAAAAGTATTCAGGGGATTCTTTTCTGACTTTCTGCACATTATTTTTTGATAAAAATTAATATCCAACTTTGTGGAATTAATTGTTCATAGTTTTCATTTTAGTTTAATTGAGACTACTGATGCCCAAAGATAAGGGGAAAAATTGTCTTTCTGAATCATTTCAACTAGTGATATTTTCAGCGATGAATTCAATGCCATAACCCAAGTATAGAATTTTACAAACTGTCATTTATGAAAGTAGCCAATGTTTCACTGGATAACTGGCTTAACCATATACATCAATAACACTTAATGCTTTATCCAGGAGTATGAAATATATGGTGCAATGTTAGATTCTGCAGGAGTATAAGAGTTCATGTAAGCAGCTCTGGATTTGCTTAATATGCACAAAGAACTGTCAAATGTCTTACTTTCAAAATAGTCCACTTACTACAAAACCTTGAAGTGTTTGAGTGTAAATGATTTTATCTTTAGATAGATTTGAATAACCTCCTCCTTTAAATTATATGTATATAAGGATAGGATTCACAGATTTGACATATGACTAAGTCAGGACTGACACAGCTGTCATTGAAATCCAGGACACACAGTCCTGGATGAATATTTTATATTGACATGCATTGAAAGGGTTATTCATTGCATGTTTGAGTAAACAGTATTGCTTCAAATATTATTGACCTTAAAGAAAAGAAGGAAGGAGCAGAAATTTCAAGATCTCTTTAAACTCTACCTTATTTCCAAAGGTAAATGAAGTAGGCAGCTTCTCAGTGAAATGAAACCTGATGTCATTGAAGAAGAGTAACAAGTGAGGGGTGGAAAGGGGGCCTGAAGGGAGTGGCTGTATTCAGGAAGATGAGAGGATCACATGGGCCATGCTGAGGACCCAGCTGGGGCTAGGAACTGCAGCTTTCTTTATAATGCCCCTGACCTGAACATTTGCTGCACTATACCCAGCAGTGCTATGTGAACATAGGGTAGTGAGGACAGATGGCTGGATTAATTCAGGATTGGCACTTTCCAGGGTCAGTATAGCTAAAGAACTAGAGAGTAAAAGAGTTGGAGTTATATGGCAGCATACCATGCGTACAGTTTGGATCATGAAGCAAGTAAAACAAGGATATTTAAGGCTTGGAAGAGAAGGTTAAAAAGTTTAAACCAACCCCAGAGTGTTTTGTTATACTAAAAAAATACTGCATTCATAATGTTAAGAGAAACACGAATATTTTCCAAGTCAGAGCCCTAATTTTACTAAAATAGAAAGGAGCAAATACACCTTGTTTCTTTATGTACTCAATCATTGGGTCATGTCAATCAAAAAATAATCAATCAAAAGTTGGAAGTCAATGGCCATATGTGAGAGGCCGTAAAATACAAACGAAAAGTAATGTCTCGTCCTTCTCATCAAGAAGTTAATATCCAAGTCAAATTTTTCTTTGGGTCCAGAAAAGGATTGTGTTCATTTTCATGTATTTGTTATTCATGTAGTCCTTGGATTGAGAGAAGAAATAGTGCTCTAGTTTAAACAGGCTCTGGCTGAGATGAAAGCTGGATAGAATGAAAGTCAACAAGAGACAGTGTGCTGAGTCAACAAATATCATTAAATACAACTGACCCGTGTGATTGTGTCAGTGAAAACTGGAAAGCAGATTTGGATAACTGGAAATATGGGCAATGTGGACTTTGCATTCTGTGTATAGAAACTGATATTGATGTACATCTTCTCTTTATCCATCTGTGCATAATCAGTATGATCTTGAAGATGCAGTATGTCTTAGAGAAAGGAACCAACTTTAACCGTGAAGTTCAGCTAGTTCAGCTCTATCACTTCGTATTTTTGTGATATGTAGACAAGTTATGTAACCATTTTTAGTATTCATTTCTGGTCTGCAAGTGGAAATATTAATAGTATCTATCTTTATGATTTTTTGTGATAAATAAGATGATGAATGAAAAGTATAATGCATGGCACATACCAGATTCTTAATCAATTTTAGATGCTAATATTAGTAAAAACAGAGTCAAACTTCACATAAGACTGTTATGTCACTGAATCTTATGGGAAGGTGTTAACCTAATAAAGTTCTTAGTAACACCTTCCATATTTCTCCATGTCTATTTTCCAAGACATTCTAAGACTTACTTCTTTGATCTTAACTGATCTCAACAGTTCATGTGACACCTCCAATGTGTCACCTCATTGGAAAGATAACATTAATACTAAGTCCATTACCTCTGCCAGTTCTGCATCTGTGTATTGAGTGAAAATAAAACTAGTGCATAAAGTTTATGTCTTATAAAAGTAGCACATGGTATTTAAGGTTGATTTTGAAAACACAAAATACATAAAATTTAAGA